GCCTCTGCCCGGGAATTTCCTAGTCTGTGGGCAATAAAAACACGGCATCCACTCACCCTCTGCACTTTCACTGGGAGCTGCAATCCTGAGCTGTTCCTAAACGGCCATCTTGGATCGATCTCCAATAGAGACAAATTTTAAAGTAGCATATAAGTGTAACATCTCTGGGAACCACACAGATAGATGGTTTCATAGCTTCTCGGGATTTTTTTTTCAGGATTCACACAAGCTAATTTAATTTCAAAACACATCAATTTACACACCCAAGAAGTGCTTTGAGCTCCAAGTATGGTAAACACAAAGAGATCCATTCATAGACACATGATAAGCACACTGCCATAAGACAAAGGCAAAGAAAGAATCTCAAAAGAAAAAAAGAGAAGCAACTCATTTTGTGTAAGGAATTCTCAGTAAAAGTAATAGAATATTTTTATCAGAAATAAAACAGAGGCCACATGGTGATGGATTGAAATATTCAAAGTGCTGAAAGAAAGAAACTGTCAAGCAAGAATTCTATACCTAGTCTACCAACAAATTAAGAGCATTGAGCAATATGCAAACAGCTGTGTATTTTAGAAAGATATGTTCAAGTAGGATGTAAGATATATATCAAACTATTAAAAGTAATGTTACCAAGGTACTAGAATAATAGTGACTCTGTTCTTTCTGCATTTATAAACTTTTTCAATAGTATCCATATTGTTTTTAAAAATATAAACATTAATGTTACATAATACACCATAAAATATTAAGCTTGAAATATATAACTTTCCAAATATTTTAGATGAAGTTTCAAGGTTTTATTTAAAGGTAGAAAAATATATAAAATGTAGTATTTATACTCAATAGCTAATTATATTCCTTTCATGATTTAAAAGAAAACTAGAAAACTACAAAGGCAATTTTCCAGTACGTCATAACATCAGAATGATGACAGTCACCTGTGAGTTTAAATGAACTTTGTAGGGCTGGTCTTTCTGCCAAATATGGCTGTAATTTTCTGCTAAACTTGATACATTTGGATCATTATTTTTCATTTGATAAATTATATGTTCAAATCTTGCTGAAAATTCCAATGGTTCAATTCCATAACTAATATTTTCAAACTGAAGAAATCCCCTGAAAATTTAGAAGGCAATAAGGGACTAATTATAAAAATCCCACAAATGTTCCCATCAAAATGATAATCTGAAATGGCATAAGAAATAAGAAACTATACTAAAGAACACATTTAGAGACCATTTTCTTTTTTCATTTTTTAGGAGGGGACAGTTTATCATTAGTAAAAGCCACCATATCTGGCTTCGTTTTGCTTACATTTTAAAGATCGAAATGCAATTAAGAATATTTCTGAAAGACAATCAAATGAATTAAGGCCAAATTTACCAAAAACCAATATATTTGTTGAGAATTCCAGGAATAACGTTACTGTTCTTACAGAGGTTAGATAAGGGAAAGGACATAAATAGACTATATAGCTAAAGAGGTTGTTATCTATAAAAACCACATTCAGGGAATGCCAATTTTCTGAGTTGATGTGAATAAATTTCAGAAATCAGGCAATTGAAACCAAAGGAAAGTTAAAGGGAGCATTTTTTTCTCTGCTCTGGATCCTTCTTTTCCTGATAAACTTACCATAAATGAGTCTCCCAGCATCAGTAACAAAAATGACTCATCCTCATCCTTTATTCCTGAGGGATCTTCTTAATTAGCTGTTTTATATCTGGTACTAAGCTGAAAACATACTATATTTTCCTATTGTAATTATATAACTAATTAGTGCCATTTTCCATAACTATTTGAGAAAACAGATACAGAATGCAACAATTACACTGATGGAGATGTTTTAAAGTTTTCTTTCATGAAGATATCCCATTTTTCATGATATCCCTGGATTGATTTCATGGGAATAGGCCCTTAAATCCAAGTATTAACATTAATATAAATAAAATAAAGCTGTTATAAAGAAAACTTTCAGCTTTGATTTCCCTTAAACTTCCACGATTTGCGTGTGTTAGTCACTAAGTTTTGTTTTAAAGTGTATCTTAAATTCTCCATCTGTAGATTTCTTATAAGCTGCTATTACCTGAGACCAGAACATATACTGAGTGTCACAAATGAATTTGGAAATTCGGCAGCATATCCTTGGTAATGGCAATGCATCTGAAAAACATTATAGAAAGGCAAGTATATAAATTTGTTGTGAATAAAATATGTATTGTCGAACATTTCAGAAGATATAAAATACTAAAATATTTAATAATAAGATCATGAATCATACAGAATTATTAATGCATATTTTCAAAAAAAAAGATATTTGACAATTCTCTTTGCAGCACCTAGGTCTCTGTGAGTGTTCTCTTGTACCTGGGTTTCATTTCTATCACATGCCATTTCTAAGTACAAAGTCAATAACATATCAGGAAAGATAAAACATTTGTATTAAACTGTCAACATGAAAAGCATTCTAATGGTAATAAAATATCCACTTCAACAAAAAAACATAAGGTATCTTAGTTTACCATAAAATATGGAGACTCAGCATGCAAAGATCCAGTTTCACTATATGTAAAAACCAAAAAGTTCTGGGGTAAGAATGAGCTAAAAAAAAAACAAGAAATAATAAAAATGTTTGAGTCATAATTTTAATATAAATGTTAAAAAACAAATATCACATACATTTTCTGTAACATGATTTAATCAGCTTTATATAATGGCATGATTTAATTAGAGTTAATTTATGAGGCATAACAGTTGAAATTCATACAACCGGTGAATCAAGGAGTTTAGACTTTCTTAGCATTGGGGCAGTCTCTGAGACTCCCCTGCATCAGACATTTGTGTGTATGGCTGTGTGTGATGACATTCAATAAATGTATTGAGTGTTCACTAGGTGCTGAGATTCAGCAATAAACAAGAAACAAAAAGCCTTAGTTTTTGTGACAGCCAGGGGCACATAGTACTAGCAATTAGATGACAATAGATAAGGCCTAGGGAGGGTGGTTACAAAATATAGATAGGATTGCATGGAAAAACTCTCTGAATAGATGATTAAATACCTGAGGAATAAAACACATGGATTTTCACAGAACTGTTATTCTAGACAGAGTTAATAGAAATGCAAGGACCCCCAAGCAGAAATATGCTTTATATAAACAAGGAACAACTAGGGAACAATATGACTGAGTGTGAAGTGATGAAGAGAGACTAGGATAAGAGATGGTGTCACAGAGGTGAGAAGCACTGGAGTGTTTGAGCAGATAAAGACAGCCTCAGACCAAATGTTTTAGTAAAATCAGATAGTGCTGTGTTAAGAATAATCTGCAGGACAAACAAGCAGAAGAAACAGGGAGACCACTTAGATGTAAGAAATGATGGTGCTTTGAACTGAAATAGCATCAATGGGGAAGGTCTTATTCTGGATATATTTTGTAGGGTTTTGATATAGATATAGATATATGTTGAATACATGGATTTATAATCCACTGGAAATAGGGGAAAACAAAAGAAAGAAAGATGTCAGGTATGACTCCAACTTTTAAATTTTTTTTTCATGAAAAACTGATATTTTGCCAATTCCTGACGTTATTGTGAGAAAGACAAATTTGAGAAGAAAGTCAGAATTCCATCTGGACATGTTACCTATGAGGATTCTAGTATAAACTTGGTTATCAACTAAGTACTCAGATAAGTGAATATGGCATTTATAGAAGAGGAATAAGGTAGAAATATTAATTTGGGAACAACTAATACATGGATGATATTTAAAGTCACAAGAATTAAACAACCAGGTGATTGAATATAGCTAGAAAAAAAATGCAGATACAGTACCATGGAGTACTCTGAAATTCAAGAGATAAGAAAGAATCTGCCAAAAATAAAAAAAGATCGAGAAGTAGAGATTAAGACTAAATAAAACACAAGCAGGGCATCAAGAACATGAGGACCACTGATGATTCTATCAGAAAACACTTTTGTGGAGTTGCAGTGGCATGAAAGGTAAACATGAATTAAGTAGGGTAGTCATGAATTAAATGAGAATAATTTCCTCCAGGCTTGCTCAATTACAAAGAAGCAGGAACACAAGGGACAGTTGCTGTAAATACATATGTTTGAAGATGTATAGAAGAGGCTACTTAATTTAATCTTTGTAGAATATTGAGAAAATACAAATCAGGATACAAACAGTAGATTGTTGCTTTGAGTTGTAAGTGAGAACAGAGACTAACTGAAAACACATGAGGGGTCTTATGTGGGGAAAGAATGTTCTAAAACTGATTTATATGTGATGGTGGCAACATTGCATAAAGTCATTAAAATTATTGAATTTTATAATTTAGAGAATTTTATTTGTAAAGTAGGTTCAGTAAACTTGTTAAAAATAGATACATATGTAATCAACACATAATAAAAATTGTGTCACTAGTTGAAGTTTTCACCAATAGTCATTTGATGTGTAACTATATTTGATTTCACCAGATATACTTAATATACAACTTACAGTTTTTCGGTTCAATGGCGTATGTTCAATTGCAGATTATACAAGTATGTAGTTTATTTCATAATTTGAAAATACTAAGCTAAAAATTAAAAGGAAATAGCCCTCTAGATTTGATATTCAAGAAATAATGATTCCTAAATTCGGAAGTCGATTGATAAAGCAAGTCTACATTATACGGCATTCCTGAATTTAAATACTGCACAAAAATTTTAAGGCTGTAAAATCTAAACTTAAAGCTTTCCTTTTTCCTTAATGAAAAAAAAAAAACATCTCTTACTTCTTTCTGAGATGTAGAGTGTACAGCTGTCCATCAATTGTAATGATGTAAATAATCTAAAATAAAACAAATCAGTAAAGATTATTAAGGAAATCAGAAATGTATAAAATAAAACAATATTCATCCAAGTTAATAAAAATGAGTCACTGTTAAAAATGAACATAATATTTAGAATTTATTATTCTAAATAGTAAGAATTTAGTACCTTAATAAATTCAGGATCAGTGTGACCAATTTAACCTATGGGGTGACTTTTTAAAATAAAAATGAAAGGAAACTGTGGTATACATACATGATGGAATACTACTCAGCCATAAAAAGAAAGGAATTAATGGCATTTGCAAAATGCATATCATGCAAACATAAATGAAAGGAAAGTAGAAGTTTTTGTATTAGTATTACAGAATGAGAAGGACATTATATAATGATAAAGGGTATCAATCTAGCAAGACGTAACACTCCTAAGTGGGTATGCCCCAAATGACAGAGCTGTAAAATATAAGAAGCAAAACCAGACAGAAATGAAAGACTCTCCTCCCCATTGTGTTCTTTTGGTGAACTTGTTGAAAATTTGTTGACTGTATATGTTTGGATTCATTTCTGGGCTCTCTGTTCTGTTCTATTAGTCTCCATGTCTGTTTTGTTGTTGTTGTTGTTGTTATTGTTTTGTTTTGTTTTGTTTTTTAATGACAGTACCATACTGTTTTAAATCTTATGTTTTTTAAATACAATTTTAAATCAGGAAGTATAATGCCTCTAAGTTTTTTCCTCAGTAGTTATTTGGCTACTCAAGGTTATTTTGTGGTTCCATACAAAATTTAGCATTGTATTTTCTATTTCTGTGAAGAATGACACTGGAATTTTGATTGAGATTGCACTGAATCTGCCTACTGCTTTGGGTAGTATGAGTATTTTAATAACATTACTCAAGAATAAAAATCAATGGACCCCATAACATAAAAACAAACAACCTATTGCCAATATGGAGAAAGTTTCATCAGTCTGGATAGACAATCAAACCAGCCATAACATTCGCTTAGGCCAAAGTTTAATCTGCAGAAAGGCCCTAACTTTCTTCAATTTTATGAAGACTGAGAATGGTAAGAATGCTGAAGAAGAAAAGTGTGAAGCTAACTGAGGTTGGTTCATGAGGTTTAATAAAAGAAGTTATCTCCATAACAAAAATGCAAAGTGATGTAGCAAGTCCTGATGTAGAAGCTGATGTGTAAGATTTAGCAAAGATAATTGATGAAGACTGCTATAATAAACAACAAATTCTCAGTGTAGATGAAACAGCCTTCTACTGGAAGAATATGCCATCTAGGACTCAGCTAGAGACTTTCACAGCTGGAGAGGAAAAATCAATGCACAGCGTTTTAAAAATTGTTACTTTAGATTCAGGGGTACCTGTGATTGATTGTTACATGGGAATTACATGCATGATGTTGGCCTTCTGGTGTACTCATCACCCAAATATTAGGCATTGTACCCAGTAAGTATTGTCCCTCCATCCCCCACTTTGGAGTCCCAGAGTCTATTTTCTTCATCTTTATGTCTAACCGTACCATTTACTTAGCTCCTACTTATAAGTGAGAACATGCAATATTTTATTTTTTCACTTCTATGTTATTTCACGTAGGATAATGACCTCCAGTTCCATCCATGTTGCTACAACAGACATGATTTTATTCTTTTTATGGCTGCATAATATCCCATGGTATATCTTTATCCAGTCAACTGTTTGTGGACATTTAGAATGGTTCCATGTCTTTGTTATTGTGAATAGTGCTGTGTAAGATTTAGCAAAGATAACTGATGAAGACTGCTCTAATAAACAATAAATTCTCAGTGTAGATGAAACAGCCTTCTACTGGAAGAATATGCCATCTAGGACTCAGCTAGAGACTTTTATAGCTGGAGAGGAGAAAGCAATGCATAGCATTTTAAATATTATTACTTTAGATTCAGGGGCACACGTGCTTGATTATTACATGGGAATTACATGCATGATGTTGGCCTTCTAGTGTACAATAAACATACAAGTGCAAGTGTCTTTTTTATATGATTTACATTCCTTTGGGTAGATACTCATTAGTGAGACTGCTAGGTCAAACATCAAAAAACTAAAAATAGAGCTATCATTCAACTGAATCTTAATGTCTAGTTTTAAAATATAGGCTGACTCTCTTGTTAGTGCCTATTAGAGCTGGTGACTTTAAATTGAAGCCAGTGTTCAGTGACCATTCTGACAATGCCAGGGTCCTTAAGAATTATGCTAAATCTACTATGCTTGTGATGAGAAATATAACAACAAAGTCTGGATGATAGTATATCTATTTATAACATGGTTTACTAAATATATTAAGCTGACTATTGATACCTACTACTCAGAAAGTTTTCTTTCAAAATATTATTGCTCATTAACAAGGTACCTGGTAATCCAAGAGCTCTAACGGAGACGTGCAAGGGGATTAATGCTGTTTTCCTGCCTGCAAACACAGAACCCATTCTGCCTAGTCAAGGAGTTATTCTGACTTCCAAGCCTTATTACTTAAGAAATACATTTTCTAAGGCTATAGCTGCCATAAATAGTGATTCCTCTGTTGGATATGGGTAAAGTCAATTGAAAATCGTCTGGAAAGAATTCACCATTCTAGATGTCATTAAGACCCTTCATGATTCAAGGAAAGAGGTTAAGATAGCAATATTAACAGGAATTCAGAAAAGGTTAATTACAAACCTCACAAATGACTTTGAGGGATTCAAGACTTTAGTGGAGAAAATAACTGCAGATGTGGTAGAAATGGCAAGAGAAGATATGGTAGAAATGGCAAGAGAGCTAGAATTTAGAAGTGGATCCTGAATATATGACTGAATTTTTGCAATCTCATAATAAAACTTGAATGAATGAGGAGTTACTTCTCATGAATGAGCAAAGAAATTGGTTTCTTTAGATGGAACCTACTCCTGGTAAAGACGCCGTAATGCTGTTGAAATTACAAAAAAGGGTTTAGAATTTACATAAACTTAGTTGATAAAGCAGTAGCACAGTTGGAAAAGACTGAGTCCAACTTTAAAATAAGTTCTACTGAGGGTAAAATGCTATCAAACAGCATTGCATACTACAGAGAAATCTTTCATGAAAGGAATAGTCAATAGATGCAGCAAACTTCATCATTGTCTTATTTTAAGAAATTTCCACAGCCACCCAACCTTCACCACCACCCTGATCAGTCAGCAGCCATCAACATCAGGCAAGGCCATCTACCAACAAATGATTATAACTCACTGAAAATTCAGGTGATAGTTACCCTTTTATAGTAATAAAGTATTTTAAATTAAGGTATATACGTTGTTATTTTTAGCCATGGCACTGTTGCACACTTAAGCTATAGCATAGTGTAAACATAACTTTGACATGCACTGTGATACCAAAAAGTTTGTGTGACTTACTTTATTTTGGTAGTCTAGAGCCAAACCTACAATATCTCCAAGATATGCCTGTAACTTTCAATTCTGAACAAAAATAAGTAAGGGCATTATAAGTCAAAATAAACAGGAAAATAACCACAGGGAGTCATGAAAGGGTTTGTGACTTGCTCCAAATGTTCTATTTCTGAACCTAGTGCTAGTTTTGGAGGTGCGTTTACTTTGTGAAAATTCATTGAGATATATATGTTATTTATCAATGCAAAATGTCATTTTAGTTTAAAAAAGAAAACCCAGAAAAAATGTATTTTGAAAATCAAAGATAAAATGTCCTCTTCCCAAACTACTTGAGCCAAAAAGGAATCATAGTATTCATTTTAAAACATTGAAAAATGAATAAAAAACTGTAGAATATGACTCAAGGAGTATTTAAAATGAAAGTTTAAAATGTTACAAAATTAGTAATTAAAAATAATTATGTTCTTAAAAAATAAATATATATACACATACACTCAAGTTGGTGTATATATTTGTACATATTTATTCATGTGTGTAGTCACTGACATATTTGTGTGTGTGTAAAATATGCATGTCAAGTATACATGCACCTTGATATACATAATATACACGTAGTCATACATAATTTATACATAATATGTAGTTACATATATCTTCTTATATTCTCTATTTATATTAATATCTATAAACAGTCATTTGAAATAGATATTCTGTTTAGATGATTCTTCTCAATCTTACCATGACAATTCATTAAAAAATATATATGTATTTGTTTTGTGCAGACATTTATGATTCCAATGCTTGCTTCTGTTCCTAACATAAATTCATCAAATAAAGAATAAGAAAGAGGAAAGCAGTCAGTAATATTTAAGAGTTAGCTTGGAATTCTGCTGTTGAAAATAAGCACTTTAAAAGGATATCAACATAACACGGGAGCACTGTCAGATAATTATGCATCAAGACAAAAGCAAGACTACTTCATAATCATGTGTGAACACAAACTAAATGTAAACCCTTCCCAGCCAAAAAAATATCAAATATGCCCTATTGGGCTAGCAAGAATGGCTGCTGCTTCTTAACTAATGACAGATTTAGAAATGTTCTGGTCTTCCTGTGCTCTAGATAAGACAATTAACTTAAAGAACACATAAAGAAAATGCAGCATATAAACATATTGGAATACTACTATTTAGCCTTTAAAAAAGATGGAAATCATAGTATTATGCCTACTTCCTAACAATATCTAAGCCAGAACAAAGACATACTTCTTAAAACTTCCCCTAAATTCCCAAAACAGAAGCCAAAATCTTGTAAGTGCTTTAGCATCCTCCTAAAGAGATGCTCCATGGCTCCCCAAGGAGTATGTTCTTCCTCACTGCAATGTGTAATAATCCCCTCTTGTTCAATTGCAGGTGTGTTCACAATGGTCTTTGGCAAGGCATTGATAGCAGAATATAAACACATTCTGAGGTCAGCTCTCCCCAGCTGAAGAGTTGTTTCCCAGTGTTAAACCAATAATGGCACGATGGCTTCCATGCTATACTTAGATAAAACAGAAGGTTTGAAGCCTTCTTTATAGTTCCTGTAATGTCCCAATATTTAAGCCATTGTTTTATGGAATAGAAGAATATATTTTCAAATGATGTATATGACAAGGAGTTAATATCCAAAATGTTATAAGGACCTGCTACAACTCAACAGGCAAAAACAAAACAAATAAGCTGATTAAACAATGGGCAAAGGGCTTGAATAAACTTCTGTCCAAAGAAGACATACAAATGACCATCAGGTATAAGAAACTACTCAATATTGGCTAGGTGTGGTGGCTTATGCCTGTAATCCCAGCACTCTGGTAGGCCGAGGCGGGTGGATCACAAGGTCAGGAGTTTGAGACCAGCCTGGCCAATATGGTGACACTGTGTCTCTACTAAAAATACAAAAATTAGCCAGGCATATTGGCATGTGCCTGTAGCACCAGCTACTTGGGATGCTGAGGCAGAAGAATTGTTTCAACCCAGGAGGTGGAGGTTGCAGTGAGCCAAGATTGTGCTAATGCACTCCACCCTAGGCGACAGAGCGAGACTCTGTCTCAAAAAACAAAAAAAAAAGAAAAAGAAACTGTATAATATCAAAAAAATGCAGGATCAAAACCACAATGAGATATCACCTCATAGCTATTATAATGGCTTTTATTGAAAAACACACCCACACCCACAAACAAAAGCAGAAGATAACAAGCACTGGCAAGGATGTGGAGAAGTTGGAATCCTTGTACACCATTGGTGGGAATGGAGAATGATGCAGCCATTATGAAAACCAGTGTGGAAGTTCCAGAAAATTAGAACTAGCACTACCATATGATCCAGCAATGCAACTTCTGGCTACATATCCAAAAAAATTAAAACCATGAACTTGAAGAGATATCTGCAGCCACATGTTAATTACAATATTATTCACAATATTCATTGTTTGGAAGCAACCCAAATGTTCAATGACATGAATGTATAAAGAAAATGTGGCATATAAACATATTGGAATACTATTTAGCCTTTTAAAAGAAGGAAATGCTATTTGTGACATGAATGAACCCAAGGGAAACTATGCTATGTTAAATAAGAAAGTCACAGAATGACAAACTCTATATGATTACACTTACTTATATGAGGAATTTAAAATAGTCAAAATAGGTAGGTGTGGTAGTTAACACCTGTAATGCCAGCACTTTGGGAGGCCGAGGCTGGCAGATCATTTGAGGTCAGGAGTTTGAGACCAGCCTGGCCAACATGGTGAAACACCATCTCTGGTGAAAAAAATACAAAATTGGCCAGGTGTGGTGGCATGCACATGTAATCCCAGCTACTCAGGAGGCTGAAGCACAAGAATTGCTTGAGCCCAGGAGGCGGAGGTTGCAGCGAGCCAAGATGACACCACTGCACGCCAGCCTGTGCATCAGAGAAACACTCCATCTCAAATAAATAAATAAAATAAAATAGTCAAAATCATAAAAGCAGAGAATAGAATAGTGGTTTCCAGGGGTCTGAGGAAAGAGAGAAATGGGGAACTGTTGCTCAATGAACACAAATTTGCAGTAATAAGAAATGAGTAAGTTCTTCAGATTTGCGGTATACCACAGTACCCATAGTTAATGATACAGCATTGTGCATTTGAAAATATGTCAAGGGGATCAGTCTTACGTTCAGAATTCTTAGTACAAAATATAAAACAAAAATATGCAAGGACATTTTTGGAGATGATGGATATGTTTAGTACATGGATTGTGATAATGATATCATGGGTGTATGCATATATTCAAACTCATCAAAATGTATATATTAGATATGTGCAATTTTTATATGAATTATAACTCAATAAAGTTTTTAAAACATGAAAAGAAGACCCTATACAACAAAATATAGCTTTAAGAATTCCATATAAATAATACCAAAAGTGGAGACAAGTACTGAATACTGCATGTCTCTTACAGCAAAACTATTTCATCAAGCCCTGCATAGTTGCTATATGCTTCTTGACAAGTAGTAAGAAATTTTTTTTTTTTTTTTTTTTTTTTT